TTGAATGCCTGATTGACGGACTGTCGGCTCGATAGACAATTGAGGGCTAAATGATAAATACGAAACGGCAGCAACTTGAACTAAATGGACCAAAGCCGAAGGCAGATTGTAATTTATAAATTCTGATATTTCATTTCTATATTTGATTGATGGAATGGTGAATGATGAACAAATGAAACAGAAGCAGCTTAAACGAGATAATCGGGTTTGTAGTGTTCCAAAACATATTCATAATATTTTATAAAAATTGTTGTTGAAATACACGAAGACAAGTTTTTTAATACAAATTCTAGATTACATTTTATTTTCTTTATTTAATTAATATTATGACAATTATTTCTTATATCAATATTTAAGTAATATAAAGAAAAATATTTGTTGTTTCTATATTAACTTAATAATATTTTGTTGAAGGTTTCACAGCTAATATATTGTACATAATTGTTAGAATTTCAAAATTTAATTTAGTTTATATATTTAAGTAATAATAGGTATGAAATTTTTTATTTTGTTTTTCTTTTTTTGTTTTTTTTTTTTTTTTTTTTTTTTTTTTTTAATTAATTTTAATTAATTTATACATCTTACCTTTGTTATCATCGAGAGTTTCGCAGCTTTTAGATTTTACATAAATGAAAGAATATAAAAATTTGATTTTTGTAAGATGTATTTTGATTTCTATATTTAATTAATATTTGATGAAATGTATTACGTAATTTTACATAATTTTTAGAATTTCAAAGTGAAATGTAATTTCTATGCTAAATATGATTGATGAAATGTGTGGAGTCCCCCCATCGAAATGCAGCGCGTCGCTCATTGAAATCGTAAGCAAAACAGTGGCAAGCCACATCATCGCCATTGCAGGCAAAGTGCTGATGATGCCCAGTTGACAAGTCATGCCGAGACTTCTCACTCGCGCTCCCGATTACCATGGCCCGGGTCTGGGTCTGGGTCTGCGCCTGTTCTATCTAGTCATTCGCTGGGATGGGCTGTCATTCAGCGCCATTGTCTTTGTCACTTTCATCACTGTCAGGCGAGTTGATTTTGTCATTGTCATTGTCATTGTCATGGCTGTTGCTCGGGTGCTGTGGTTCGGCTCGGTTAACAGCTTCTGATCAACATCAATTTATTAGTTTTATTTTCTGCACAGCTTCGACATTTATAATCAAGTTTTTTATCTGCTCGAGCTGCCAGGGATTTCTGTCATGTCACTTCCGTTCGCTGCACTGGCCAAAGACATTTGTCGTCAGCACGAGCGACAGGTTCCTCCAAATGGTTTCCCACTTGCCATATGCTGCCAGCTACCTGCTGTGCCCCTGTGATGATAATGACGACGACGATGATGATGATGATGATGATGATGCGACGACCGCTGCCAGGTGCCCAGAGAGTCCGGTAATGATGAGTCTATTATCAACCGGGCCGTGTCAGCATTTATGGCTGATGTTTGAATAATGGGACATTGCTTCGAAACTCTAAATAGCAATTAGACCGTAATTTGAGTTTGCCTTCAGCCCTGATAGCGGAAGTAGTCATGGTAATTGGAATATTTGTCCAAATCAACGCGCATGGGAGATAATTGGGATCACAGGAAGCAGCTAAGCATACATCGAGTGAAAAATTGTTGAAAAATCGACGGTTACTTAGGCCAATAAAAGCCAAGCGGAACTTCAGTCAATCCCACGCTGTATGAGTGCTTAAATATTGTCAGATTTATAAAAATATACATCAAAATTTGTTGAATACAGCGCGATAAGAATTTTGCCAAATTTATTCGATCCCAGTGAAGGATAGAGTTTTGGTTAAAATCATAAAATTTCAAACTGACTTTTCTATCTAATCTATCTATATCTTCTAATTGAGATCGATTAAATACATCAAAAAACTCTATTCACTACGTGATGGTGAAATGGGTTCAAGATGTGTAAATAATATTCAAATTTATTGAAAGCTTAATACAACTATATTGAGAGGTTAATATGGATCTAGTCAAGTAGAATAATTTTCTTGCATTATTAAATACAAACAATTTTAAACTTTTGTGTACTAATTATTTTTTTAATACGCTGAAAAAAGAAAGTCTAAGCTAAAAGTAGTAAAAAAAAACGAAATATTTATTTATTAAATTATTATTTATTATATGTAATGTATATACATATTATTAAAAATAAACAATTCTAAACTTATGCTTCTGTAGTTACGCCAATCTGCTAGTTAGTATTAATTATTATTTTAATACACTGAAATAAAAAAAAATGACGAAACTAAAAGTAGAAAAAAAGAAAAACGAAATAATTATTATTTATTAAATTATATTTATTATATGAAATGTATATACATATTATGAAATATAAACAATTCTAAACTAATGCTTCTGTACGCCAATCTGCTTACAGGGTACCTCAGCTCGAGTAGAGTTGCTCAGAGTTGCTTATTTGAATTGGGCTTTTAATAAATTTGGCGGTTTGCGCTAGCCCATTACACGTCTCTATTAGAAGTCGGTTGCTGTAATTGGTGGACATGGCCATTTGCTGTTTCCAGCTGAGTTGAGCTGAGCTGAGCTGGCTGCTTGATGGCAAAACACGCCCAACTGCTGGCAGGCTGTCCATCAGACGTCGTCATGCGGAGTCGTAACGCCCATCAGTCAGGCCGTCAGTCACTCAGTCAGTCAGTCAGACAAACAGACAGACACAGTCAGGCAGGCAGTCAGGCATTCAGAGCTTGGCAGGGCACCGAGGCGGCCTCTGCTTCGCTTGCAATGTGTTGTGTCGACTGTCAACGCGCTACTCGCTGTGTGTGTGTGTGTGTGAAAGCTTTAAATTTATATGAAAGTGTCAGTTGTCAATCACATTTGCAAACTGTCACACACGCCGGAGGAGCTCAGCTGGGCGGTGGTAGGTAGATGGAGCCAAGCTGAAAGTGCGGCCAGGAAATGGCTGAGCGGCAACATATTAATCTTTGCCAGCCACGAAGGATACGACGCGGCTAAGGACGAGGAGGCGTTGCTGCGGAAACAGGAAAAGCAGTCAAAGCAGACGTTGACAGGCATAAGTAATGTAAAAAAATTATTTTATAATGGAGTGCGAAAATGAAAATTGCGACAGCAGCAGCGACAGCAGCAGCAGCAGCAGTCGCAGCAACAGAAAAGACAACAACAACAACAGAAAAATGCGCAAAGACAGCAGCAACGCCCTTAGTTGCGAGGACGTCAAATTTGGTGGATTGCTACAAGCAATTTAGGTAAGATAATCACTTGTGGAGTGTGCCACAGAAGGAGAGGCACGCATGTGTAGCTCTGGCAACATGTTGCCGCTGGCAGCAGGCAGTTGCTGTTGCTGCTGCTGCTGCTGCAGCCATGTTGCCAGCGTGTCGCTGTTGACTGTTGGTTGTTAACTGCTCTCTCTGTGTGAGAGTATGTGTGTGTGTGTGTTTGAGCATTTCAAATGCGATGCGCTGACACCTCAAACACTCACACACACACTCGCATGCAACAATGACAACAACAGCCGCCTCCTGCGCCATGGCATAGCCTGACAGCCCTCTGACAGTTTTTGTTGTTCACGCGAGTAATTCATTTTGTACTGCTGTTGCTGCCGCTTGCTGGTTGCAGCAACAGAAGCAGCAGCAGCAGCAGCAACTCCCCTTGGCTGTCACCTCGTTGCTTCATTTCACATCACAAAAATGCCAAGCAAAGCGACGCGCGTTGACATGTGAGAGACGACGAGAACGTCGCCGGCTCTGCCAGCTCAGCGCAGCCCGAGCTCTGCCAGGACATGCTGCCAAGGGCCCCCATGAAACGTTCCTGTGACAAGTGACAGTTAAGTTGCTGCTGTCGTTGTTGTTGTTGCTGATGTTGCTGTTGCCGTTGTTGTTGCTGCTGTTGCTGCTGCTGTTGCTGCTAGTGCGCCAACGTCAAGCGACGTAATTCATTTTGCATGTGCGTGCAAAATTTTCAAGCGTATTTATTACGTAAATTAACAACAGCAACAGCAAAAGCAACAACAACTGTAGCAGCAACATACCCGCACATCAGCGACGACAGCAGGATGTTCATGACGCAGCGGAAATAAATTTTGCGTGAACAATACAACGCATTACACTGCAGGTTAGGTTAGTTTTTACAGAGCTCGAGGCGCGCCGAAGCGCGGCTTTGCATGGCTGGCGAAATTAATGGCGAAGCGGCTGACAGGCTGACAACTGGGCCGAAGGCAGCGGCAGCAGACAGAGAGGGGATTCACACACACACACACACACACACACACAGAAAGTGCGCACGCACACATGCTAATGAGCCGTCAGCACAGAGACGGCCAGAGAATTGATGGGCAGGCCCATTTGGCGAGGTGGTGGAGGGGGGGAGGACAACAGGAACTGCTGCGAACAGCGACAGACAGTGTCCTGGCCAAGACAGATGAGCAGCACAGGCACCGGAATTGACTGTCAGGTTGACAGCAGGACACAATCAGTAGCAGTGCCCCTGAATGAGATAGAAAACGAGAGTAAAAGAAAGACAGATGAGCTCCATAAATATCTCAAATAGATGCAAGTTAAAAAATTTATTTAATGAATATGATTTAAATAACAATACAATTAGCCAATACAATATTAAATATGGAATTGTGTAAAACTTTACAATAGAATAACTGAATTATTATTATTAAAAGTATAAATATTACTTCCAAAATATTATCGCATTTAAAAACTAGACACAATTTGATTCATTTTCGTCCTTCTTCTTCTCTCTATGAGTTGGGTTCTATATCTAAGTAAGCCATAAAGGTAGGCCAACCTTGGAAAAGGTTGCTACCCAACACTAAATGTTTTCGAGTCATCTTTAGGCAACTGGCGATACGATATGTTCCCTTTTCAAACCGAAACCAACGTCTAGATAAAAACTGATCCCTCATGATCATGATCACTCATTCTTTAGTTTGAGACAATGAAATAAAACATACGATTTAGAACCATTTACCCAACCCAATCTATTGAGAACAATGCAATTATAGACAAATACATTCCTAACGATATTTTATTAAACATACAAAGATATTTGCATATATGATATACTATTAGGAACAGCTACGAAATCGTCCAGAGGCATGCTGAAAAATACTCACACATCACACGTTCGCTATACAAGTCCATCCTAAAGCCCGTATGGACATACGGCATTCAACTGTGGCCCACAGCGTCTTACTCCAACGTTTAAGTTCGGCAATGTTTCCAAAATAAAGTGCTACATAGATTGGTGGGTGCCCCACCCTATGGCCGGAGCTCCGTGCTTCTTGTTGGCCATCTAGCAATACTTTGTCATCTAGTTGGTGGCAACGCGATCATCTACTCAGCTGTTAAGAGCATACATGAATATGTATGTTAATAAACATGGTCTCATTGAAACCACTAAACGTTGCAGTTCTTTACACCCACTAACCCCCAATCATGAAACTACTAATGTATCCCGTTATCAACTTTAGCTAAAAACATTTGTAGTTACAAATACCAATAAAAGTCGAATACTGAATATGTTTTAATTTCTTTATTATGATATCATATAAGACTTTAATACGGCTTTACGTAATTCAAGGCTCTTCCTTTAAACAGAACTCCACGCACTCATCAAAATCCACTTGCACATCATTTATTTTCAACACCTTTCATCCTTCCATATACATATTTATGAGATCCCAAATTGAACACGTGCCTAACAGAATATTTTCCTAGAGTAATCGACGCTTTCTCTCTCAGTCTTAAACAAAAAGAAAAAGAAAAAGAAGTAGACCACTTTTTATTGGAAAATTAAGCAAAATATTAACAAAATTTAAACTTCCTCAAAAATCCATTTTTAATTAAGACAATGATGAAGTAACATTAAGAACAATAAGAATTTATTCACAATTTAATATGCCATCTATACATTTAAATTTTTGTTGTACTTCCTCAGGCTCATCCTCCTTCATTCATCGCCCTGATCTAATGACAATAATAAAGCAATTAATGATGAATCCGCTACTAATTGCGAAGATGACATGGCTTATCCTTGAAGCTATGAATGTCGATAAAAACAAAAAAACAAAAAAACAAAGAATGGAATACCCATTGATCACTCCCAACACAACCGAAGCACAGTTCCTGAGACAGGAATAAAACCTAATTCAAAGCTGAAACAATTGGCTCTTCTATTTAAAAAGTCAACTGCGTCTTCACATCAATTATTAAGCTTATCTGTACATTGTAGACAAAAAGAAAATTAGCACCTAATTCACCAACATGGAAAACAATATTAACCAATCTTAGTTCGGAAACTTCAAAACAAGACACTCATATCCGTATACCCAAACTAAATAGCGAAACGGCAAACGATATTTGCAGTCAAAAATCAAATACATTTGAAAATATATTGAGCGACACCCCAAACACTTTGAGTCAACTAGTAAGCGCTGCAGCAATGTATTAATTTACATGGAGCGACAATTAATTTGAAAGTTATATGCAAAAGGAAGTGCAATAAATACAGAGACTTGACGGCTTTTTGGTCTCCCTCCGGCGGAATGGACGAAGTCAATTGGCAGGTCGGCAAAAGCCTTTGGTAAACCGGTTTATTGGCTGACTCTGATGCTGCTGCTGGTGTTGTTGGCTAAAGGCAACTCCAAGGCTGCATAAATGTTTCAATCAATTTGAGGCTCGTAACATTTTAGAAATGCGGCATCGATTTATGCAATTCCCCCCCAACTTAATTGATTGTAAGCCAGCAGCAGTTGACAGTCCGCCATTGCCCAATCTTAATGCCTTTTTATGGCTCGGCCAACATCTAATGATACTTGGCAGTTGGCCAGTAGGCTTAGCCTTTGCACAAATGAAAACGAAGGGATGAGAGCACACAAACTGTCAGGTATTTAAAGCACGCAAACTCAAGTAAGCTGACTACGAAACTTCTTCGATACTTTACATTTGCTTTAATCGGATGAAGAAACACGAGCATTAAACTTCTGTGTACATTTTTTATTTTTTTAATCATACTTATAATTCATGAAATTTAACTTCCGAGTTTTCCAACTCCATTACTTTACTATATCCATGGGCTTTTTAAAATTACAAAATTTTTCGATTCCATTGAAGAGCAAATTTTTTGTCATAGAAAAAAAAGAGAAACATATGCATGGTACGCAGTATGTACCACCACAGGGCTCATTCCCAGGTCCAACTCCTTACAATATGTATAACTTCGAGGTACCATCGCTGATACCTCATATGCCGAAATGCAGATACCGGAATTTCCAAAGATGACTTATTGCGGGAAATACAGAATACATATCAAGAATGGGGAATAAGAAATTTAATACGATGAATGACGACGATATTCCTGAGCCGATGATAACGATGAGAATGACGATGCGGTATCCAGTTATAGCACAGACTAGAAAAAAATACTGGAGTCATTCAAACAGCTACCAACTATTCAATTCAACAATTATAAAGTGCATTTAAAGAAGATACGAATGATGTATTATTGAAATCAATCCAGATAACTTCTGGCTTTCCACTTCACAATTCACGACTAAATGTTGTTTTGCAAGCAATCAAGGCACATTCCAATTCCCGTACGAGGACATTTCGATAAGCTGTACTTAAAACCGTTACCAATAGTGTATGCACTATAAATAATATAATAGAATCATATATATGTATATTTCTTTAAATACTTTACTCATTATATAATGTCAATTCCAAACAAATGCAGATGTTGACTTTGAAATATTTATATGATTGAAATACAATAGAAAAAATTCAAAAGAGAAAAGGTACGACGAACCCACTTTACGAACTCCTACTCAAATTCATATACTATCATTGATTCTCCATACTTTCATTAAAACATTATATACTTTAGACTCTAATAAATCAAGCTGTTTTAGCACATCCAACAAACAACGAACACCCCATACTAGTTATAGGACTTTAATTTGCAGTTTTCCGATTTTACATTTATTTAATGACTTAATCTCATGACAGCAGCCAGGCCAAAAAAAATACATTCAGCTCTCCAACTCTTCCAATACCACAGAGGCAGAGCGGGACACACACGCTCGGTGTGGGGCTGACATATAGGCTTGAGCCTGGGCCAGAGACAAGGAAATTTGACAGCGGACACGTAGGAGGTCTTCACCCGAGCACGACCACCAGTGGCCAGGAGACGTCGCTGTCCCGGTGCGGGTCGAGCTGCTGTCAGTTTGGCAAGCTTTTAACCCATGCTCGCAATTGAATTTCTCTGGGGCGCATGCGACGCACAGCGGGGCGGACAGAGAGGTTGACAAGCGGCGGGGACTAGGCCAGGACTTTTAGCTAACTGACATTGGCAGGCGGTCCACGGCGGGGGATCATCAGCAGCAGCAGCAGCTGCAGCAGGAGGTGGAGGAGGAGGAATAGCAACCACCTTGACTTGACACTGATAGCCGGGACGGGCAACAATTCTAGTTCCAATTCCAGTTGCAGAGCAGCAGCAGCAATCCCAAGCCGGGCAGCACTAAACAAACTTGTAGCTGCGCTTTGAATTGGCTTGGTTAACTCGACTTGACTGCCGATGTTCGAGTGGAATATTTGCCGACTATTTACGTGCAGCCAGAGAGCTTTGGGCATGCTGTGAAATCTGCAAATTGCCATGTCATTATTTGTTAGTATCAAACCGAAACCCGCAGCGCCGGCGACCAAGGACTACGAGGATACACTGTCATCGCCTCTGCACACACGCTGCCCCGGCGTCAAGTCAGAAGTGTAATTGGCAGCCGCCCCGCATGCCACTCACCAACCCACAATTTTACCATACCCGCACACCCATCACCCATTGCCCGCCCACTGGCAAGTTACTACCCGACTTTGCTGCGAGGGGTGGTGGGTGTAGCCCGACGTCAGCTTACATACTAGAGTCAACCGTCCGCCCGTCAGACAGTTGCTAACTGTCAGTGGGCATGTTTGACTTGACAGCATAATATTACAAATCCCTGCCGAGAGCAGACACTAACGATGACATGCAGCCGAACGGCCGAGCGAACAAACGACCCAGCAAAAAGGACAACCGCAGAGCATGAGAGGGTCGAGAGCTACGCAAATCCCATATAAAAGGGAATAAAATGCAGGTAAACTCTCACATGCATACTCGATAAGGAGCTCGGATGGCGGCAGCTGTTCGGGTCTGAAATGTCAAGCTCTGGGCGGGGTTTTCGACGAAATTGCTTTGTGGTTAACCAAAACGATGCCGAGAATTATATTTAACTTATCCTGCATCTCAGCCAGATCTCAAATTGAGAGCGCTTGCACAAGCTATGTCAGTTTCTGACCAAACATCATTCCATTCTACGCCAAATTCCAAAATTATAATTGGATCGCGTAGTGCTAGTTTATAAGCCGTCTGAGGATATGGCCTCTTTGGTTGAAGTTCAAAGTTACCGGAATACTAGAAATTATTAAATTACTTCAACTCAATTTGACTTTACGCTCACATCAAGCGTTTCAAAATGACAACGACCAAAAGCAATTGCAACTCACGCCAGTTTACACTCACATCTTTTAGAACATCGACCGACCCATGCCGGCAAACCGAAAATGTCTCATAAAAAAAATCCAAACGCCCCGAAACGAAAGAATACGAAGGCTATTTTCGCTGCGATATCAGCGATTCCAATTGAAATGCCATAGCCCACCGGATATTTTTTGGAACCAGTAACAAACATAGAACAACACGCGCCAAAGAATACGATAATGTATTTGAGTTCCAGACTTATAGAAGAAAAGAGCATACCAACTCCCTGAAATACCAGCTAGAGATGGTGCCGGAGCAGCAATACATTCAGCACCAAATCTGGTGCGTAAGCGCAAGAAACTCATAACGCCCCTGAAACTCTACAAGAGCTAAACAAAAAACGATAACTAAGGATAACTACCAGCAACAGATAACTGAATATAGTTATGAAGAATTTTTAAATTTTAGTCAATCACAGTTAAAGAAGCAGCAACTAAATGGCTAATGCATACACCTCCATAAACCCCAGGAGCTGCGAAGAAAAATTACCAAGTAAAACCCTGAAGACTCAACACTGAAAAATATGGTTCACCTAATACTAAGAAAAACTGAACCGAATCTTGACCACGCATAAATAACTTTCCTTATCAGTTTACACCCAAACTATAGTTAGAAGAAAATTTGATATTGAATATGTTTTAACTCCAACAATAAAAGATCACCCAGCACTAAAGCCGGATATATTATGCTTCCCCTCGATCTGAAACATCGTTTCTGCACTGAAACTACACAAACATAAGATTCATGACTGATGGATACATTTGCTGGGACTTCTAAGTACGCCACAAGATTGAATGCAGGGTTTCGTCTACTTTCGACTCAAAAAAAAATTATTAAGTAAAAAAATTAAGATATGCAGTATTTGATTAGCTAATAAGAGGATAAGCGCAAGATAACGGAAAAATGATTTATGTTTCCGCGTCTCTCTATGGCCCGCTTCGATTTAATTTTTGTATGTTACGTGCTTATATGGAGATTACCCATCAGGAAGCCAGAACGATGATCGCAGAGCGTTCTGGAAGTGATCCAAGCACCTTGGCATCACCTCTGACATAGGCCAATTGGCCGATTTAAAGGAATAAATATTCCTTTGGGTTGATATCAAACTCCCAACAAAAAAAAAAAAAAAAAATACTCCATTGTTGAATCAGCAATATTCATCAGGAAGCCAGAGCACTCATAGAGCGCTCTGGAAGTGATCCAAGCCATCTTGGCATCACCTCTGACAGCGACCAATTGTCCCCGATTTACGGGTACAAATATTCCCTGCACTTTTGCCGTGCTGATATTAACTACCCAATAATAAAACTCCATAGTTGAGTTAGCAATATTCATCAGGAAGCCAGAACGATGATCGCAGAGCGTTCTGGAAGTGATCCAAGCCATCTTGGCATCACCTCTGACATAGGCCAATTGGCCGATTTAAAGGAATAAATATTCCTTTGGGCTGATATCAAACTTTCTACAAAAAAAAAAAAAAAAAAATACTCCACTGTTGAATCAGCAATATACATTCAGGAAGCCAGAGCACTCATAGAGCGTTCTGGAAGTGATCCAAGCCATCTTGGCATCACCTCTGACAGCGACCAATTGGCCGAATTAAAAAAAAAAAAACCGAAAAAAAAATACAAAAAAAAATGTTGAGCCGCGCAGTTAAGGAAAGCTCATTAATGTCTCACGACACTGATTGAAGCGAACCTCCACTCAAGGAGAGGTCCCTGCGACGACTGAATTCTAGCTCCGCTGTGGGCTCCTTTTATACCCACAGCCTGCCACGATAGCAGGCGATTTAAAGCTATCGATAATTAGTTAGTGTTGCATAATTACTGTGATTTGATATTAGCGAACACTAAAAAGCAAGCTCGAGAAATTTCTAGAAAAATGAGCAGCAGACACTGCAATTAGACAAAATATTACTAAATACGTAATCCTGAAGAATTCTAACTAGCCGAAATATGTACATACTATGTATGTATATACATAAGAAGAAAGAGGAAAGTCAATCTTCTGCGTGTATAGCAATAATAGCTGCAATTTAGCTAGCTAATATGGGAGGTTTCGCAATATGGAAATTAGGAAAAGTAGATCTATATATATATATATATATATATATATATATATATATATATGCAAAATAAATGATCAGCAAGAGCTAAAATTAAATAATGCTAAAAGTCTAATGAATTTTGTTATGCAAAAACTGATTTCCCAGCACAAGTCCTAAAACAGATAGAGCTTCCACTTGGGCATTCACATACATATGTATGTGTGTACATATGTATATATGTATGTATTTAGCTTTGCCAGAGTCTGTTAACGAGGCAGATCGCTGGCAACAATAGTGAGTGTTGATTCAAGCCATTCAAATCATTTCCACACATATTTGCCAGCCGAAAGTCGGCCATAAAATATAAAGGAAAGCAGGTGGCAGCAGCAGCAGCAGCAGCAGCAGCAGCGGCAGCGGCAGCCGTATGATAAATGAAGATGCAGCTGCTGGGACTACATCAGCGCTAATTGCTCTTTGCATCTGAGCGAGAGACATGCACAGTCGAGATGAGATACGGCGCAGAGCGCATCCAAAAGATACTCACTCGAATCATAATTCATTTTTCATGAATGCGAGCCGACTCGAGAATGTGAATGTGAATGTGAATATGACAAACTTGCGACGCGTTGCCTGAGATAGAGAGGCCTCCATCTTATTCATAAGTATATTTATATTTGTACACTTAATCCTACCAAGCGAAAGGAGGCGGCGAGCGACAGCCGAAATGTCAAAATGCATTAACATTTAATTGAGGCTAATTTAAGGCGAAATATTTCGCCTGGCTCATATGAGAATTTATGCGTCTCATTTTGTCGCATCTTTTCACGTTTGCTTTTCATTAATATACATACATATATATATATGTATGTCTATAGATAATCTTCTGCATGCAGCGGGTATTATGAAAGTGTTATGAAATATGTTAGCCATAAATGGATTATTTATATCGGAATATATTAAATATTTATGTATATGGTTTGCTTCGGGCGAGGATCTGTGTTGAAAACAATCTTTACGATGAGTTTATTTTCTGTATGAATATAGCAATAAAATCTGTAAGAAAAATAAAAAACTTTCTGTGGAAATAACGAATATGTATAAATAAATACAAATGTTTATATATACATATATATCAATAAAAAGTCTGCAGTGAAAAACTATCTGCGAAAATGAAACAATATTTAAATCAGTCTCAATAAATATAAATATTAATAAATATATAGCAATAAAAAATGTGCATTGAAGCTATGTTTGGCATCAGTTTATATTCTGTATAGGAATAGGCATAATATATATATACAAAACTATCTACAGAAATAGTTTTAAACTAATATAAATATTTATATATAACAATAATTATTTTAATATTTATTATTAATTATTCTAAATTATTATTATTAAATTATTTTGAGATATAATGAATATTTAATAAATATAATATATATATACACATATATATAAAAAAAAGTAAATATATAATATAAATAAATGTTGTATTATTTTATTAAATATAACATAAAAGATAATTAACACGAGTCAGTAAATAGCATAAACAAATAATATAATATAAATAAATATATATATATTTTTTATTTATCAGATTATATTCTCTACCTTATCAGCTTCATCGATGCTAACTCCTCCCCAGTTTTATCTCTGGAATTAATTACCATTTTGAATACACTTGTAAATAATGCCAATGAAAAGTCAACTATAACGTAATAGAAATTATTATTAATAAATATAAATAAATACGTATATATTCAACAATCAAGAATCCTCAATGTCTGCCTGTCTCAGCATAGAGAGTATTCCCAGTTCGATATTTCTTGCTCGATTTCCTTTGTATTTTCTGTTGTCTGCTTCGGCTTTTCTTTCAGCCGGATATGTTGAGAAATGAGCGCATTTTGTAAAAATGTCACATTACATTTAATTTATGCGACGCCAGCCCCACACACACACACACACACACACACACACACACACACACACACACAGACACACACACACGCACTCTCTCTGCGCATCTGTGGGCGAATGTATCTGTATCTGTGCAGTTCTGTGTTGGCTGCAAGTGTAGCGTGAAATTGTTTTGATGATGTTCCATGTCGCGCCGCATCAGAATTATTCAGCTGTCATTATCAACGGCAGTTTAACCCCCGCTTAGCGACGCTCCATGGGATCGGTTCACGGTATACAGTTCATGTTTATGGTCACGCCGTCGACCCGCCTCCTCCTTGATTGACAGCCATGCAAACGTAGCTTGTGAGCGCTGCCCTCGTGTTGATTAACACAATTTGCTTTGCTTGTTGCCAAAGTCACGTCACTGCGGTTCTCTCTAGCTAGTTTCTCTCTCTCTCCCTCTCTGGTCTCCCTGTCACGATCTGCATCTCAGTGAATTTTTTTTTTTTTTGGTGAATGTGTCAAAATAATGTTGCTTTTCAAATTTGACAAGACCATTTCGAGTGGGTCGCCGCCTTGCCGCTTGAACGGACGGCTGCCTGGCTGAGTGCTTGAATTTGATTTGATTTTATTTTCTTGGGTCTGCCCGTCAATTAGCTGGGCACATTGCATTCACGTGCTCATTGTTTAAATTTTGGCCAGCCAGTGCTAACAAATGCACAAAAATCTGAAATTCTTGGCGAGGATCGCAGATTGAGGTGAGGTGAGCGCACTCTACTTAGCAAAATATTTGCCAATGATTCTCAAGTAGTTCATGAGCAGCGTTTGAATCTTTCCGAGCAAACAGAATGAAGCCAAATTCTCTGTTTATTTGCCCAACGTAGACGCTGTCTAAGGAAAACGTGTGTTGACTCTTTCATTTGTCAGTTCAAAATATTTGCTCAAGTTTTTCGGCGAACTGAATTTTGGCGCAGCAGACGAGCTCGACTAAGCGACACTTGACGCAATCTGCACAGCGTTTCCACACGTGCCGCAAGGCTGAAGAATGCCCTGATAACCGTCCTAAAGACCCAAATGAATCAGCAGAGCAGACACTCTGAATACTTTTGCCAATAACAGGAAAATAAAAAATAAAAAAAAATTAGACCAAGTAAGATTAGAGAAATTAAAAATAATTTGTACTTCAGTGAGCAACTTCTGTTTAAATTAAATAATAAATTTAACGATTTAAATTCCTTTATGACAGATGGAATGTTGTTAGATAAGTGAGATGAACTACGATACTTCTAAGAAACGTAAGCGTAATATATTTAATTGCGATCCTCTACAGTCATTTCTTCTATTCTGTTCACGTATCTTGTTTCCCGTTTCTTCTAATCTCTTCAATTTCTCAATTAAGCTTTTTTTCTGCCATCAAAATTTCATCACTTCTCATTTTTCTCGCTACTGAGATTCCTTTTTATTCTTACCTTTTCTTTTGGTATTACCCCTTTTCTGGTCTCTTCTCTCTACTTATTTCGTCTTCTCTATTTTCATTTCTTCTTTTCTGTTTTCTACTTTTCCCTTCTCTCTCTATTTGCTTCCGTCTCTCTTCGATTTTCTCTTTGGTTCTTTTCAGCTCTGTCTCGTCTTGTTTCCCGTTCTCCTTTCTTTTTTCTACCATCATAATTTTTCGCTTCCCATTTCTTTATTTTCTTCAATTTTTACTTTGTTTCTGCTCTTTCTAAATTCTTCTTTCACTTTCACTCTCTCTCCTCTTCTTTCTTTTTTCTTCTTTCGTCTCTCTTTCCAGTTTTTGTATTTGTTTCTCCTTTCTTCCTTTTCTCACCTCTTTTGATTCCTTCTGTGATCTTTTACCATTTTCATTTATTAATCTCTTTTTGTTCACTCTTCTCTCATTGACTCTTCTATGCTTCCATGATTTTCTCTTCTATCCACTCTCTCTGCTATCATTCTTTTTCTCCACCCACTCACCTCATCCTTCAACTCTCTTCCCCTGACTTTCTTCTCTCCTCTCGCTATCAGTCTTCTGGCTTTCACGCCGCCCTTCAAGCTCTGGCAAATAAAATCATTGAAAGCATTCATTCACCCATACACAAGTAGTCGCATATATAGAGGTACGCCCCTATAAATCTGAACCATAAGAGCGGACCATAAATTATGGTCGCAAATATTGCTAGCATTTGGCACAGTCACTCGGAGCAGTTCCGCTCGACTGGCTGCCTAGGCTGCCTCGGCTGCAGCGGAGTGAGAGATGGGGCCGTGAGGTTATCAAAATGCAATAAATCAGATTGTTATAAACATAGCATATATGTTATATTTTATAGCGCAACAAGAAAACCAGAGTCACTGAGATTCTTGATGGCATCGCGCGGCGTGTGCGGGGTACGGGGCGAGCTCTCTGGCAAAGCTTATAAACAGACATTAAGTCTGTTAAACACGAGAAAAATGCGCATTATATGATGTAAATCAAAGCCAGACAACGTCGCCTGGCTGTCCACAGTGTGTTTATCCATTCACTCGAACAGGTATCGGCACCTGTGATTGGCCATTGCGAAAAGTGAAAACTGAATACAAGTATTACGGTAACCAACCAACTGCATCGGCCGAGTGCGCCTCATAAATCTCCGGCAACTCGGTCGTATTACGTTTCAAAAGTCTTAAGGAAACTGCTCCATGAGCGCGAGAGACGATCAAATTAACTAGTCTCTGCCCAGCCGGAGTCAACTGGCGTGCGGAATCAACGTCTCGAGTGTTGGATGGAATACAAGCAAACAGCGTGTTACACTCAGCAAACACTGCCGATAGGG